GAAATGATCACAATTATTTAAGCCGATTGTAATCATTTTTCATAGTAATTAGATTTCACAGTCATATTATGCTGCACAGGCAAAATGTGAACTATTTGTGTTGGGTTGAGGCAAATAAACAAATAAATAAATAAAAGAAAGCAGTAAATCCATTCACTGAGTCATCACAAGGCAAATGGAAATAAAAAAAGCTAACTTCTAACTTCTCTGACATGTAATGTTTATTTTTTAGCTTTGTATCTAATTCTACCATTTTTAACACGTTTGCTAAATGAATGTGTTTTTCTCTTATATTGCTCAACTCTACTGATAATTCTGTCTAACTAAAGATGTTTGTGTCAGAGTGTGTGCAGTATTCAACCTGCTTCAGTGATAGTAAGTAAGGTGGATTATCAGCCAATCTGGCCACTTTAGACTTGTATTTTAATGATACCAAACAAAATTGTTAATGGCAATTATTTATATGACAATTTATTGCCAGCTAAGATTTCATGATTGTAACAGCCATAGATTTAGAGAAAATGGGATTCCTAACCATTGTTCAAGACCTGCTAGACCACCAAAACTGTCATCATTAGATAAACAGTACTTATAGCTTTCATTTTTAAGAGAAAGGAGAAAATCAAGCTCCACTCTTGCAACAGATCTGAAAAAAATCCATAGCTGTTTCTGTCCATATTAGAAGACAACTCAACACTATGAGTCTGATGGTATTCATCCCTGAAGGGTCCATATCTTACATTTTTCTTGTTTTTTACTTTTCCCTGAGGTCCACTTATGATGTTTGTGTGGTTTTATATAGCAAAAAAATCATTTTCACATGACCATTTCCAACCCCTCTTTATCTCTTAGAATTAAACAGGCTGTTTTTGTTACTGAATCTTTAAGACTGATATATGTAAATGAGCTCTGTTCTGGCTGCCTTGTAGTACACCTCATTATAAAGGCAGTCCAGACTGAAACACTCCTTAATACTTCAGTGTGAATGGGCGGAGCTAAACTGCTGCAGGCAGAACAAGTTGATGGTTTTCATGGCATCACAAAAACAGTTCATTAAAACTGGGCTGTTTTTTGCAGACTAGTTTCTATATATGTGCTATAACGACAGGGGAGTGAATGATACAGTTTTAAAACTTTCTCATTGTTTACACACTATACCAAGCTTTTATTTCAACAAAGCAAGGACAATTATGTTTTCAATGATATGGGGCCTTTAAACAATTATCTGCCAGTCCTGTACCTTCAACAGATATTAAGCAGCTGCATAAGAGGCAACAGCACTGTCTCCTCATTTCCCCACTAGGATGCATGAGAAAGCCCCAATAACCAAAGCCAAAATTAATACACAACCCAGAGTCAGTAATGAGACAATCTAATCATTTTAGTTTACATAAAATAGAGGATAGAGTTCATCTCTGTGGGAACAAAACTTGGACAAGTTCTGCATTCAGCTCTGAGCCAGAATTCATCGGATAAGAAAGAAAGAAAGAAAGAGAGAAAGAAAGAAAGAAAGAAAGAAAGAAAGAAAGAAAGAAAGAAAGAATGGAAGGAAGGAAAGAAAGAAAGAAAGAAAGAGAGAAAGAAAGAAAGAAAGAAAGAATGGAAGGGAAGGAAGGGAAGAAGGAAGAAAGGATAAAAGGAAGGAATGAAGGAAAGGAAAGAAAGAAAGAAAGAAAGAAAGAAAGAAAGAAAGAAAGAAAAAAGGAAGGAATGAAGGAAGGAAGGAAAGAAGGAAGAAAGAAAGAAACAAAGAAAGAAAGAAAGAAAGAAAGAACGGAAGGAAGGATGAAAGAAAAATGAAGAAAGCAAGAAAGAAAGAAGGAAGGAAGGAAGGAAGAAAGGATAAAAGGAAGGAATGAAAGAAGGAAAGAAACAAACAAACAAACAGACACAATATTCCAGAAGAAAAATCCTGCTCTGCAGCCAAATCGCAGTACACAATACTGTTACCCAGCAGCTTTTCACAGTGTTGTTTCCAGAATAAACTGCAGGTAGACGATAGCAAAGGGTCATTTCATCTCATTTCAGGTGTGATGGAAGCAGAGCCAAAACTAAAAAGGCAGATCAAACATCAAAGCAGCAGGCTAAAGCGAAGGGGGGGTTTGTGTTACAAGTGCTGTTTGGCTCTTGTGAACACGTCTCTTATTAAACTAGAAGCCGTGCTGATCTGGATCACTGCTCACAATGAAGTCACATGATGAGGGAGGGTGATATACTGCACCGCACCAACACCAAGAGAACAAGCCCACTGTCAGTGAACCGCTATACAGAAACAGTTCACGATATACTTCAAACCCAATACGCACTCTTATACTGGACGCCTGAAGCATAATTTTTACTGTTGCTGATCAGAAGAAACTTAATCTACATAAGGCGTAGGAGAAGAAGAAGAAAGATAAAAGAGAACAACGGTGCAAGTAAGCACTTATAAGAACTTTAAAGGACCCATATCTTTCATTTTTCTTGTATTTTTGTTGTCCCTGAGGTCCACTTATGATATTCGTGTAGTTTCATGTACCAAAAACACTTATGATTCATTTAAACATAACCATATTTCATTATCTCTATTTGTCCCTTAGAATTCAGACTGATATATGCACATGATCTCTGTTCTGAATTGCCTGGTATTATGCCTCAGCAGTCCTGGTCAAAACACTGCTTATACATTCAATATAAAAGTGAGGAGCTGAAGTGCCATAGGTTGTAAGAAGGAGGTATGTAAATGTGTTTTTTTGTGACATCAAAAAAAAAAGAGAATTCAAAACAAGCTGCTTTGACTGTAGGACTGTACGAACTGAGAAGGGAACAGATATTTTGCAACTTCAACAGTGTTTACATACTACATCAAACCCATATTAAAAAAAAAGCAAGGGAAATTCAGTCTTCTGTTATATGGGCCCTTTAAAAGTCTAACAGCAGTGTGTATGTTTCCATACTGAGACCACATGTTCTCCAAGATAAACACACATTAAGCATATGTTGGACTAATGGGTGCTCTTTGTCGTGTGGAGCTGTAGACATTACTCACAGTGACATGCTAGCTGTGCTCTGGACACTGCTGCTCGGTTGCTATGGAGCTGTAGGATGTGGCACATGGACACAGGATTCATTACAACTCTCTCTCTCCGTCTTTTGTCATCATCTCTTTCTCTATTGCCTTATTTTGTCTCTGCCTTTGTCCTTACTCTCTTTCCATAACCTCTCTTTTTTCTCTGTCCGTCTCTCCTTATCGCATCATGCCCTCTCTCTCTCTCTCTCTCTCTCTCTCTCTCTCTAATAATGAGTCTTCTTTTAAACTAATGATTTCTGCTCGACATACTAAAAAAAAGTCCCCTGCAGTAAGACTCAGTCCATCTTAAACGGCCAATAATTCTACATTTTTCTTTTATTTTATTTTTCTTCCTTGAGTTCCATTTATGATGTTTAAGTGCAAAAAAAGTCATCATATTTTTATGTCATTATTTTTTTTTACCTAAACTGGTTGTTTTTGTTACTTTAAGACTGACACAGCCTTTGTAAATTACCTCTGACTGGCTGCCTATTGTGCTTCTCTCAAAGAGCAGTCCAGACTAAAACCCTGGTTACTTCAGCATGAAGGGCAGAGCTAAACTGCTATAGGTTGAACAGAAAGATATATATACAAAATGTGTTGTTTTTTGTGACATCACAACATCAAATCCAAAACAGGCCAATTTTCATCTTTCCATATGTGGACTCGAGAATGAGTGGTACGTTATTAAACTAGAACAAATATCCACAGTGCACCAAACTCTTCTGTTTAAAAAAGTGTTTTCCATTATATGAGACCTTTAATGTTTAGTACCAGGGTGAGAGGTTATGCCTCTACGCGCCCGAGCAGCAGGCCTACAACTCGAACAGGTAAAGGATTCCGTCAGCTGTGGAGTTAATTTATCACTTTGTTGGGGGAAAACTTCATCTGGGACGATGAACAAAGGTGAGTACACAGACAGTGTAAACCTTCTAGGACTTTTTTTTCTACTCAGCCTGATGAATTTGGCATCCAGCTGTGAAGTGGCAACCAAACGCCAGTCATGTCCCCGAGCACAGCTGACACACTTCTGCTAGGCTAATAAAATCCCCACACAAAGGGAATAATGCTTCATTTCTGACCACACTTCGCTCGACATCTCCCTTTACGACTCGGTCACGAAGCTTGTTACACATGTAGAGGCCAATATTAGTTTGAGTAAAACTGTTAACTTATGGGAAATGTGCTCGATATTTACCGTCAGCCTACGTGACAAACCTCGCTCAGAAGTAGGCTAGCTGTGATGCTTAAGATGAGCTGGCGCGATATAGATCTTATAGGTCGACCTTATTACAGGAGGCTGAAATTGGCTTCCTGTTCGCAATTTTCCCGTTCCACCTTAAATGGTGCAGCAGTTACATTCTTCCGCCTCAGGCTTCATTTCTGCCTCAAGCGCCAGAATGTAACTGCTGCGCCGTTTAAGGTGGAACGGGAAAATTAGAACACGAAGCTGGCGAACAGGAAGCCGACTCCAGCGTCGTATCTTATTACGAATGTTTTATGTCTTCAAACTACACATAAACACCGAAGAGAGCACCAAAAGCACTTTTCTGTCAGAAGCTGGCGACCATGTAGGTCTCCTCCCTTCAGTATGTCTCGGTCTTTTGGCGAGAGGAGGGAGCGCACCTGCACGTTAAAGCCTCTTAAGGTGGACATCATCCAGCCATTAGGCTCTAAACGCGCCGCAGCTCGATAACATGCCGTCGACAGCGTACCACTGTCCAGATGCCCTAGTGTGGGTGGACAGAGCAAAATCACCTCAGCGCAAAGCGTGGCGAAGGTGGCGCGATGAAAAGACGCATCCCGAGCCGCTCATCACTGTGAAGATTATCAGCATGCAAAACACACACACACACACACACACGCGGGCGCACACACACACCACACTATGCAGCTCACAGCGTTAAAGCACTGCAGCTCGCCTTCATCCAAAAAAAAACAGTCCCCTTACGATCAGCGGGATGGTCCTGTCCTCCCGGTGCAGCTCCAGCCTCCCGCCTCCAGCTTTCCCTCCGTGGCTCTTGCCGCCCGTGGCCCGCGGCTGAGACGCCGAAGCAGAGGCGGTCGTGCGGGGCTTGTTGTCCTGCCACAGGTAATAGAAGGTGCCCAGAATCCAGGCGACGGTTAGAATGGCAATGGCGTTGGCCCTGATCCTGCGCATGCTGGGTCCATAGGGAGGGCTCCCGGGCCCTGGATGATGCTTGCGGTGATCGCGTCAGCTCCTCCTGCTCGCCAAGGGCGCTTTTATTCTCGGGCTGCTGCTGCTGCTGCCCACTGATACCTCGCGCCGCGCTTTAGCTCGCACGCGCTGTGGCTGCAGGCTGCTCGGACCGAGCGCACATCCCCACACTAGCAGTGCGCGGTCCTAGCGCCCACAGATTCGCTGCTGCTCGATGTTGCGCAGGGCGTTTGTCCCCTTGTCTGCCAAACAGGGGACAGGGCTGCTCCACTCCTCCCACTGAAATTCTCCAACACGCTAAACGAGAAGTAAAAAAAATACTGGACCGAACTGTAGACATAACATTAGACATGCTGGACTACAGCAGAAAGCCAAGCAGCTTACTGGTCTAAAAGAGGTCTGGGAGCACATTTTCAGTTATATGGAGACAAATTCGTGCCAAATTGAAAAGCAGTCACTACAATGGACAAACATAGCATAATTTTTCTACAGTGTCCATAGTGTCATGCTGAATATGAGCTGAAATAAAAAACAAAACCATAATTACACCGTTTTCGTGTCGCTTGAGCTCCTTACTGAAAAAAAAAACATAAAAGGATTTGCATTTAAAAATGAAATGCAGAATTTGTGTAGAATTGAATACAATCCACCATGAAATGTCATGAAGTCACAGCTATTTTGCTTTTCTTTCGTGCAGATTTGCCTCACTGAAATGCAATCATAACAATAAAAACTGTAAAATGCAATGCACACGTCTTTACATTTCCATAGAGACATGCAGAATATGAGCCAAACTTAAAGGCAAAATCTGTACTACAGTGCTCTCCAGTTGCTTGACTTCTTTTTTTGTGCTTCAATTCTATTTGCCTCATTAAACTGCAACCGAAACAGTGAAATGCAATGCACACACTAGATTGCATTTAAACAGTAACATGCAGAAAACATTCCAAAATTAAAAGTAAGTGATCCATTACTCTGATTTAATGTGTTTCAACATTTAATGTTGGAGGAAAAGCAATAGCTGTGGCTTCATTACATTTTAAGATGGATTGTATTCAATTCTGACCCAAATCCAGTGTTTCTTGTTTTACATGTAAATACACATGCATTGTTTTCAGTAAAGAGATCGAGCAGTGTGAAAGCTGTGTAATAGAGGGTTTGTTTTCATTTTGGCACATATTCTGCATGAGACTATGGAAAAGTAATGTCATGTGTGCATTGCATTTCACATGTTTTCCACTGTGGTGATTTTTGCACAAATGCTTCTCCATACAGCAAAGTGATCAGCTCTAACTGAGCAAGTGATTGTATTTTTGATCTGATATCAAATAACAGCAAAGCTAATAACCAATACCAGTATCAAAACACTTAAGAGTCTTCTTGTTTTAGAGAAATATGTTTTTTTATTATGTTTTACAGTGAAAACCTGTAAATGTGGACATAAAAAAAACAAAAAAAACAAAACAAACAAACTGGAAAGGCTTTGCATTACTAAGAAATAAACTGCCACATAAACCAACCATTTTGTGGAGTAAAATACCTCATATGATGTTTCATTATAGAACGTTTATTCTGTGTCATGTTTCTCTATTCCCCCATGTGTCTATAAGAAGCAAAGGGAGGGGGCAGATGGAAAAGTATACATAGATTCACTTATTTTTCTTCACTTTTTCAGCATCAAAGAGATATTAAGTAAAAAAAATTCACTGGTTAAAGAAAATACTCAGTATCCACTCTCAGTGCTTCAATATCCATTCAGTAGGTGCAAGACAGTTCTTAAAGCTACACTATGCATGATTTGGGGAGATGGAGACCTCTGTGGTGGAAATGTGTAATTGCACGCAACATGTGGAAGAACACTTTTTGTTAGTGTAGTGCTTCGTATAACCCACTCCTCTCTAATCCAAGGATCTGTAAAATGTTGCATACAGGGAGTGTGACCTCAGGTCAGCATTACTGTAACTCATAGAACCCCAAAACCGTTATTATTTGGGTGATGTACTGTCCTCAGCTTAGCAGTTAAGCCAGCATGATAGTGATATGTGAGTGAGTGTTGTGTTGGCTTTTAAACAGTGTACACTTACTGACTACATAATATCTTTTTCCGTGCACAGTCTGTGTCAGAAATCCTAGCTAGCCCTTCATCAGTGGTCAGTTTCTGACCACTGAACCACTACTGTCTGCATATTTTTGGTTGGCAGATTATTCTCAAACCAGCAGTGACATTGATGTCTATAAAAAGACAGGAACACCACTGTGCCTTATGCACTCATACTGGAACAAAATACACTGATGTCACTGCTTTGCTGAGAAGGGTCCACCACCCAAATAATATCTAGTAAGTAATGGTCCAATGGTGGTATTTTTCATTGGTGGATGTGGTAAAGAGTGGTTGACAAATTGTGTAGCAGCAGATGAGCTACAGTCAGTAATTTTGTACCTGGCAACCAATGAGTGTAAGTACAAGAGAGGCATGTAATGAACTTGCAACTCAATGTGCATTTACTTTAGATGCTACTTAGCTACATATCTTGTTGTCCAGAGGGGGAATTAAGGCTGTAATTGGTAAATACTTTGTTCTTGTTGGGCTGGTGGACATCATATTTTCTGCTTCTTGATATGTCACTCTTATGTTCTCAAGTGAATGATTTGTGTACTTCTACCACTGGTCAGTTTATCCCCTTAAATGACAGGGGTATTGTTCAATCATTAATTTGAGGCTTTATAATTTTAAGACATTAACTATGGCAAATTATTCTATATCTACAACAAAACTATGTGCAAGTTATATTATGTTATGAGAATGAGGAATTGAAGTGTGGGCCTACTTAGAGGCCTTTGGAGTTTAAAGGGTTTTTAATCAGCTTGGTAGAACTTGTGTTAAAATATTATCATACAAAATGATATATCTCAGGTTTTATTTTGAAAATCATAATATTGTGGCTTATAGACTAGTCAGCAGCCTGAATATTCTTGGTTGTGTTTTTGTGCCAGTGGTACTAGGCGTTGTTAGTCATCTTGGTGGTGAATGAGATAATTACCTAATGCTAGAAAGAACTATAAACTATATTGAAGTATAATGTTAGTAAATCCTGTATTGTATGCTTTCTGGGTCTTTTGGACATAGGACAGAGTTTCTGTTCAGTGACTTGCTGGCAGTCAGGATTTTTAGGCCACCATATCGAATATGGCCTGGACAAGCTGAGTCATGGGAATGCAAGTTGATTTGGTACGGGGAGGGATAACGTGTTCCAAATTCAGGCCAGCTATTTTCTTCTAATCACCACATCATGATGAACTGGGATTTACTGGCTTCTTCCTTCATGCACAGGACAGCCAGTCAGTCATACCAACTGTCCTCAAATCCACAGCAAAACTGTACCAAATCCAACACAAAATCCATGATGGGTGGGACTGTTTGAGACTACTTGCTCAATAGCCTCAGAAAAGTGCTGACGTATGTATAAGGAAAATATCTGTATGTGGTGATGTGTTTTGCCTCTTAGTTGGCTTCTACAATCTGGGAATGCATTTTACTCATTAAAGATTACAGCTAAGTAAATGTGATGTAGCAGCAAAAGGGTTTACTCCTTCTTTTGAGAAGTCTGTTCTTTTTTCTTCAGATGAGATCATGCAGACTCCACCTATAAAAGAGAAGACTGTAATACCCCGCAGCTGTTTCAACCACACCAGCAGAAACTAAGTTTGCCAAGTTTTCACAAAGAAATCTAAACACGGACTGTATTGTGAAAAGAGAGAATGACACAACTATGCAATTATCAAAGGTCTCATTTGTTAAATAAAACCCGACCCACTGGATATATCTTTTAGAAATGAGAGGAAATTTAATTTGGAGTTGTACACACAGGACTGTATCCTCAGGGAAAAGAAGTACCTAAGACTGTGCAAAGAGATCACTTCTGTCACCTTCTTGCCGTGAGCGGCACTGGCCTGCTCTGTTTGCTTGGTAAATCCAATTATACCTTCCACGTAAGCTCGAAGATCACATCATCACAAGAAGACTCTGACCTTCCTTCAGCCAAGTATTAGCAGTCTACTCTGGACAAAGATGAAGCAGTAGGTGTTCTTACTGAAACCTACAATAAGTCATGGTCCAATCTAGGTACTGATGTACGTTAAAACTAAGTAGTGTTTTTAAACAAGACTTTATTTAGTATAACCTATATGTTGTATAGGTGTAGCCAAAATAAGCATTCTGGCAAAGCAGAAATTTATGTTTTTGTCTTTAACCATCTTGCAGGAAATGTAAATATGGAGTGTCTCCCTTGTATGGGATCATATTCAATTGAAAAAATTAAATGTATTATATAAAATGGCAATATGCTCCCATATTTAAATATATTCCCCACTCATATGTGCCATTTTGGGCTCAGAATGAGAATTCTAATTCAGTAATGACATTTGCTGTTTGATATACCAGTACTGACATTTCGTTTACACAGAGATTTGGATTCTTTATGAGTAGTTATATTTAATAAAAATGCAACTGGGGTGAATGTTCCAGCTGATGCCCTTTTATAGGAACGTGTTTTGTAACACAAGCCATTTCACAAATTGCAACATAGCAAATAACTGCACAGTTATATTTGGTCCAGTGTAGCCCTATTTGTTGCTTATTTTGAAAGCATGTTTCTTGCATTATTCCTGGCAATGGTAAAGGCTTACTCAAGGAGATTCAGTAACATGTTATTCTAAACCATATAATTACAATCCAGTTACAGCAGTAGAGTGCTGTCATCAGTTCATAGGATACAGGAACTTCCAGGTGCCACAAGGGAGGCACTGGCTCTGATGTGTCTTTAGGAACATCCCCTACAGAACACGGAATGGCCATGAGATATATCAGTGGAGTGTATATCTGGAATTTTAGCCATGCTGTGGGCCACACTGCATCTCATGCTGACACTTCTCCTAAAACAAGGCCCTGTCTGAGGCTCAAACATGCCCTGTAATGAACTACTCCAACCCCCTAATCCCTTACACAGCCACTCCTGGCATTTCAGACTCTCCTTCCAAAATGGTAGTTTCCCAGAAAGCAAAGAAACAAACACAAACACAGATCTTCTCTTTTCTACTTTCTCTCTGTTTCT